ACAGAAATGGTTGTGCAATTTTCCTTTTTTTAAGAATACCATCTGGGATAGATAAATTATTATTTCACAGATCATCATGCCTTCCCGGTGTCTTGTTCTGACACAGCAGTTTGCAACAGTTCTTCAGATTAATCACCTTCATAAGAAAAGAGGCGCTTAGGTGTGGGAATTTTTCCAGCCCTTTTGAAGATGGTTGCAGATTATTAATGCAGCTTCTTGGAAATCTGCCTTGGGTAGACCACTTCTGTACCCACACTTTAGTAGCTTCTCTGAACTGTTAGGTTTCTTGCGCCTACCTCGGGTGCATTTCCCTTACAGTAGGCAAACTGCTGCTTGTAGAAGTCAGAATCAAGAGTAGGCATCCCTGAGCATCAGCCAAAACTCCTCCCGCTGCAGGGACCAAGTGCCAGTCCCAGGTGTTTCTTGGCCCCGGTGTCCTTCCTCCTTTGCCGTCCTCACCTCTTCTGCTGTGCAGAGAGAGCAGCAATCCGGCCTTCACTCCTACTGCTTTTCTGGTTGACAAGCGAGCAGCTGAGTGGCAAAGGCTGGAGTGTGGCAGGGAGCCCATCAGTGCAAGGGTGCAGGTGCTTGTGATAGTGCATCTGTAGGTGGCTCCCCGCAGCTGCCACCTCTCCTCTGCCAGACCCCCACACCTGCCCCACTGCTCTTCATATGGATGCCATCCGCCAGTGCGATTGTGCTGTTTGCCTCCACAGTCTTGTTTTATCCCTGTTGGCACGGGGCCTGCGGGCAGGTTCACTCCGCTGCTGGTGCACGTGCGATCACCTTCCTTGACAGAACTGTAACAAGTTGTGTGAATGAGCATGTGACTGAGTGTCAGGATTTCCTGGAGAAGGACAAGAAGACTCAGGCAAGGCAGCCGAAGGTGCTCCCGTCTCCCCATCCCCGCCTGCTTTTGACTGGTCTTACTTTGGAAGCAGAGCTGTAAAGGAGAGTTTTCCAGAAGCTCCTGCAATCTGGACAGGGAGGGAAATTGTTTTCCAAGCAACCCCGTTTTTCCAGGGGAGGTTGCTTCCATTTTGTTCTGGGGGAAGAGTGACTGAGAAGGGGTCTCCCTGCCTGCCTACACAGCACCAAAGCGTTGTGTGAGAGGAAGCAGAGGAGGGTGTGAGCAGGTGTGGGTGCTCTGTGCCAGTGAGTGTCTAGTTTGCATGTGGAGGGGATGGTTGGTGTGCCGCATGGCCTGCACCCTGCCCCACTGTGCGCACCAGCCTGCACTGCTGAAATCTGCTTGCCCAAGATTTTATTTATTTATTTATTTTTCAATTTATATCCTGCCTTTTTCCTACAAAGGGCTCAAGGCAGCTTACATCATGCTCCTCCTCCATCTTAAATCTCTCTAAAGCCTGGAGCCACCACTGTCTGGCATACGAAACAGTTTCAAAGCATCCTTGTTAGTTGCACTTACATTATCACTTGGCCTTCCTTGATGCAATGATAATTCAAACCTTTTATTTACAGACAGCCTCCCTCCCAGCTGATACCATTCCTTTTTGACAGACATAAATGGATTGTGGCAAAGGAACATAAAATAAATATGAACCTGTGTGGACAAGTGAAGCGATCAGTTAAACTGTGATCAGAAAATACACTCACTATTTTACATCTTGGAGGGGAGCACATTCATCTTGTAGGGTTTTCCTCCCTCTTTCTTGGACAGAACTTCTGGTTCTAGGATATATTTCGATCCTTCAAGCTCCTTTCTAGAAGTGCCAGTAAGGACTAATGCACAAAAGAAATATAGCAGACAGATTCCATCACTATTTATACTTGCAATTATTTGTCAAAGGGGCTACACAGGTGTTTGGAGTCCATGAATCTTCCCTTCATCTTTTTGTCAATTATTTACAGTAATTGCTCTCACGAAATCTGGCTCTCAGAGTTGGCTCATACATAACAGTGCAAGCATGTTTGATGCAAACAAGTTCTCTGTTTGAGGCTCCACACTAGTATCACAATGTAAATTCGGAGCTTTCTACTTGGAACAAAACCTGTAAACTTTCTTTCGTAAAGTTATTGAAAGGTCATCCAAAGAGCATGCAAACCTAAGTCCCAGTTTTGAACATGCAAAACTTGTCACCCATTCACTTTAATACTGGAACCGTGTGTGTCCCACACAGTCCAGATTCCTGGCTTCAGAGCTACACCTTTGTATGTATGCAAACTTTTTCTGAAAAGTCTGCATTCTTGCCTAAAGCATTGTTCTTTAAATGTCTGCAGGTGTAGTGCTATTCAGAATGCCTTTCTTCCACTAATTTCTATGTATGTATGAGCATCTCTGATTGGAAATGTTTGACACAGCTAAACAATATTGGAGTAACTTTGACAAAACCTCAAAAGTAATTGTGGTGAGGGAAGATCATTCATTTTTAAGGAGTTTATTTGCAAGTGCTCTACACAAATCATTATATTTCTTGCTGACTCCAGTGAGATAAAGATTGTATCATTATGTGCAATTAAACTATTGAGGAAGATGTGAAAAAGCAGCTTATCTACATGCTGCCATGGTATCGTTTGACTTCATATTCTTGTTTTTACTTACATACTCACTTTAAAGATACGTGTTTATCAACGGTGTTATCACTTCATATTTACTGGCAGTAGTTGCACGTATGACACTGTGCGCATTGAAAGGTTACAGAGTCTAAATTGTCTTTTCATTTCATTTTTCTCTGGCCTGCAGCTGTCTGAATTTATGACAAAGTCTGCACACATTACTGAACACTGAAAGGAAAGAGACATTTGGACTATGGCTTGTTTTTCATAAGGAGAAGAACTGAGTGTGAGCTTCCTACAATACAGTCCAGTTCATTTTTTCAAAAGTCCAGTGGAAGTTAATACCAAGTAAATTTATGCAGGCTTGCAGCCTGCAATCCTATATAAACTTTCCTGGATGTAGCTTCCATTGAAGTGAGTAGCAATGACTGTGAAGACCTCAAATTCAGAATCAGCTCCTCCAGTGCTGTAACATTTGTGTTGATGTGCACATCACAGCAGTATTAGATTTAGTACACTTAATCTGCAAACAGATATACTGACATTATATTTCCCTTACGCTTTTAATTAAAAAGGATACTAAAATAATTAGCATTTTAATGCTATTATTCAGTGCCAGGTAGGAAATTCAACTCTTCAACCATGATGTATCTTTGTGACTTAAAATATCAAATTCTTAATGTTGTTATGCATCCACTTCTCAGGACACTGTAGTGACGGGAACACAAAGCAATAAAAAGAGACTGTCCTTGTGGTTGATGTTCAGCTCTACAAACCTTGAGAACTAGATCAAGTCCTACTTTGTCTAAGGCATATTGTATAGATTTTGCAAATCCCATAATCTTTTTCCAGTCACATTTATATCTCCATTTAGTTGTTGGAAGAAGAATGGACTAAATTTTTCAGTCTGTGTTTCTTTTGAGACAGATCCTTTTTTGTATCAAATAGGACCCTTTACTGAGTTAGAATTTATCATAAAAACAACAACCAGACCCACAGTGTTTAGTCCAAAGTCAAACATGGAGATGTGGCCCTATAGATTAAAAGTCCCATAACCATGGTTAGATGGACCATTCCATTTAGTTCATCACTCATCTGAAGCAGGGATTCAGACCCGTGGATGCCCCAAATAGCTGAAATCTGGTGAATACCCACTTAGCTTCCTCGGCATAATTGGTCACACCTGCGGAAGCAGTTTTGCTTGGACTGCGCAGTCAGCCTTTCCCCTCGTAAAGGCCACATGCATTCTAGGAGCAAAGCCATGTCTCCCTGTCCTGCTTAACAGACATATTACTCTGCCTTTCGCCCCACCATGCATGCATGCTTGGGTGTAGTCTTTGCAGAGGATCCATGTACACTCAAGCCTGTACAGCACAATCATACCCCACCTACAATCCAGGAATTGTGATTGCCTGGTTGAGTTTTCTCAGCACAGTTCCTGCAGAAATGTCATACCCATGAATAAGCCCAGGAACTGGCGGGGTATGCCTGGCAAGAGGGACAGGGACACACAGTCTCATTCCTCCACCATAGGTACTAGGTGCTTAGAAACAAAACCATATGAAGAACCGGAACTTTCTGTTACAACTCATACATGATAGGCCTACTTATTTGCTCTTTCCAGTTAGCTCAAGGGCAAACTGCATGCTGCAAAACCATGCTGACTAGCCAGAATTTGGTTAATGCTGAATTAGCATGAAAGTAATCAGGGGCAGAGGTGGATGGCCTGCTATATGGGTGGTGGGAGAGGGCTGGTGTTCCACTGTGTGATGCTCTTTTTATCCACTTTACCTCCATGCTCCAGAATTGTTCTCCGCTGCCTTCTCAGACATCTCAAGGAGGCTCTGAGACCAGAAATACTCTTCACTGGAAAAATGCCACTGGTTTCAGGGGAAATGCAAAGAGATGTGCTGCTGCTCTTGCCTCCCCATGCTCTGTTTTAAATCCTTCCATGCTATGTTGTGATGATTGGGCTCAACCCATATACTTGCACAAGGTGCCACCACTATGTCTAATTTCCTCCCATTGAGACATCCATTGTAAATCAACAGATTCCATATTCTTTCCACATACTCCCATGTCCCTGCTCCACTTGACACGGGGGTCTCTGCAATCTTTGCAGAGAAAAGATTTGGCTTAAGTCCCCTAATACTTGGGTGAAGCTGACAGATCTGCTGGCTTTGTGCTGTTTCACTCCCGCTGCATGGTTTTGGGCTCCACCCATGGACCTCACTGGAGCTGGCAGTGCTGGAGTTTGGCAGCACCATCCATTCGGTTCTTTATGTTTGCTCTTATTGTGCGTGAGAGTGTCAGAAAAGGCGGGGAAGAAGGCTTAGTATGATGCAAGGGAGGGTTAATCACTTGTAGGAATTGATTGACTGCCTGTTAATAAACATCAGCCTGTATATTGCCACTTGCTCATGAGTGGTTTATGTATTCTGGTCCCTGCAGACTGAAGAAGTCCTGAAGATTGATGGAGGGCCATGCTATTCAAACAGCAGGCGTTGCTGAGACAGAAGCTCCTTGTGCTAGGCAGCCTTGCTATTGGAAGTCTCCTATATCTAGTTGCCAGAGTTGGGAGCTTGGATAGGTAAGTCATTAAATTAGCACGTGCGGGTGGCATCCATAATTATAAATAGTTTTCGGTGGAGATTCTCACACAAGTTCCTCATCAGCTTCGGATATACTTGAATAGGTTTCATCCGGCTCTTTGTCTTACTACTAGAGTTGAGAAAGACAATCTGCTGTAGTATTGATTTTCATTGTTATTTCTCGTCTATTTAAGAATGGGGGAGGGTGCAGGTGAACAGAGAGAGTTTTAGCTTGCCTAAGCCAGTTCACTTCTGCCTGCCCATTTGTATTCCATGCGCATTGGCAGTTGTTTTCCGAAGGAAACTCAAGTGCAATACAGTAAAAAATGTCATTATGGTAGCTCATTTTTGTCTGTGTGCATCTGCAGGTTGACCTCAAGCCTTGACAAACAGTTATGATGTATTTATGCATCTTCCATTCTGGAATTTATGAGTGGGCAATTAATATGCTACAGTGGCAGTTAAAATTATGCATGGACCTGCCGAGTTAGCTTGTCAAGCTTGAAATCCTATTGCACTTGAAAGATTGCTCCAGGGATGGGAAAATTTAACCATGTTAATTAGCCAAGACTTTATTTCATTATTTATTTTGTGGAAGTTTCTATGGTGTGTGAAGAGGCTGCCCAGGACTGGTTCTCTCAAGCAGAAGGGCAGATGTAGGTATAAAATTAGTAACTGTCTTGCACCTTTGCCCAGAAACCCACAGACACTTGCAGAGACTATTTAGGATATAACTGTATTCTTTCCACATTGCATTTATAGCAAGCAGATGGAACACAACTAACAGAATCCCATATCTATTTATGACAGTGTAGAGTTCTCTAAAGAAATGGAACAATACAAAACCAAAATCTATGGGGTACCATGCAGTGTAGATGAGGAATTCAGATTTCTTTATGAAGATTCCGTTCTGTAATTACTGAATAGGGAATAAATCCATTGGGGTGTTAGTTAGAATTATGATGAACCTGCAGAGTCCCACTATGTATCATAAGAAAATACAAAGTTATAAGGTAATAAAAGAAAAGCACACTGCACTCCACCATGTAGGGAATGTTGCATGTTACTGGGGTGCTCTGTGCTGATCATTATTTTTCAAGCAGAAAACCCATGCAAACTAAGCCTTCATCCAGTTTAGTTTATTGCATTTATACCATACCTTTCTTTCATCATAGAAGTCCAGACAGCATCCCTAGGGACCCTAACTGGTCTTCCATCCAGGCACTAATTAGATCCAAACTTGCTTAGCTTCAGAAAATTGATTGTATCATACACATTTGGTCTATGTCCTGAATCCCAATCTATAAGATGAAGGGGGGAGCTCAGTCTTCTACCATGTAAAAATAGCATTGGGCTTACTCAGTTAGGAACCAGAGTAGTGATAAAAGGTAAGTCAAGCTTCTTCCCAATCCATCAATATGAAAATCTTAGAGCACAGTCCTCTGCATATTTAGATAAAGGAAAGTCCTAAAGCTCCCAGTGTTTCCTAAACAGCCATCATTAAGACACAAGTATGAAAATGTGCTGGAGCAGTTGTTTGGTTCAGGGATCCATGTCCAAGCAAGCATCATATAAATCTCCTGGGGCTTAGGAGAGCAGTCCAGCACACCTGCTGTTCACAAGTTCCTAGATGCCTCCTAGAACTGTGCCTTCTGTATAGAAGTTGTTGGGACTCTTGCTGGTCCATTCTATCTCCAGCTGTGGCACTGCGTGAGTATATCAATTCTGAGGCAAGGTGTTCCACCATTCTCTGCCTAAGGCAGCAGAATTATGGACTAGGCCCTCATTGGTTCGCCAAACAGTTGTTTCCCCAAACAGTTTTTCCCAATAATCTTTAACAACATCACTGGAAGCAAATGTTTTATGCAGATTCCACCTTCCAACATAGGTGTGCTGACCAATATAAATAAGGACACATCACATAGCTTGCATGGCATTTTCCAAGCAAAGACTGTGTTGCTACAGAACAACAACAACCAGGCTTGCCAATTGCTATTACAGATGTTCTTGAGGAAATTAAGACTGAAAGGGCTTTTCAGAAACAAGTCAGTCAATAGAAAAGTTCATTAAAAAGGCAACAACAACTTTTGAATATGTAAGAAGGAAAAGCAAGTTATTTTGCTATTTCTGTGAATCTGGCATCAAGCTACACATTTTGCATGGATTTGTAGGATGTGTGCTTTGTATTCAGCATTTTATTTTTCCAGCAAAAGAAAACATAGGATGCTTTGAGCTAAATCAGAATCATGCTGTATTGAAAGAAGGGGATTAAAGTTCTCATTCCCATGCTAGTTTCCTGCTGAAAAATCCCACTGTGACTACTAACAGTTCTTGTTTTCCCTTGAAGGTGCTGCATAGTGTTATGTGAACAATCATAATTTGTGGATCAGGTTGAAATCTTTGCTGAATGTATATGCACTTAGCTTTCCAAGGCCTGGATGAACCAACTGAGCCTATGTATAAAATATAAACCTAAGCAACACCAAAAACATCTACCTGCCAAATATTATTATGTTGCCTTCCAGTGAGGGGGGCAATATACCAAGCTGTAATATTCTTCCATTGCTAACAGTTCACTTCAATAAAGGAAGCTCTGCCTGTGATGAGAACAGAAAGTTTGTGAGCTGAGCCTAACATCCACCCACCTTCTACTGGCAAAGCTCATCATATAATGATATGCAAAACGACTGCGCTCAATTATAAAGTTTCATGTATGGGATGAAAATTCCTTCTTGACTCCTGCAGGAATTTGTCCTGTGCCCTGAGGCATGAAATTTAATTAACCTTATCACCAATCTAAGCTTGCACAGCTACAAATGTTATTAATGGTCATAAAATTATCCAGATACAGTACTTGACTCCTTGAACTCCTGCAGTAGTGAATTCCATAGGATCCATATATAATATTGCTAATGGCAAGAAGGGTTTATCCCTATTTCACTCTCCTTTATTTATATCATGCCATGATAGATTTCTATTCACTGGTGAATCTTTATCTGATAACACAGAAGTCTCAGTAGCTCCTTCCAGTCACATCATTCTTACTGTATGGAAACCAATGTCTTTGGACACAGTTGCTGGGTCTCTTTTCCTACCTCCTGGAGATATTACGTTCATTCCTGTTATCCCTGCAGGGATGTGAGGCTGGTCATAGGAAGCTGAGTGCCATATGCCAAGTCAGAGCACAGCATTGCCAACTCTGTCTGAGGGCAGCTGTTCCAAGGTTTCCAGCAGGATTCTTTTTACCCCTGCCTGCAGAAGCTGGGGATTGAACTTGGGATATTCTGCATGCAAAGCATGCTACGCTACCACTGAGCCGTGGCCCCTTGGTACGTAGGCATGCCAGGCATTGTACCAGACGAGTATAGTAGTGAAGGAACAAAACCATGCATCTGAGCTAGTGGACACACCAAAATACACAAAGCCAGGAGGTCAAGATGGAGAGGTATAAACTTATCTGTGATGTGGAGAACATGCACCAGAAGAAGGTTTATTTGCTCCCTAGAACCCGATTCAATGACAGAGAGTGGTACAAGATTCAGAACTGATAAAAGAAAGTACTTGTTCATGCAGCAGGTACTTAAAGGAGTGAATTTAATGGGAAGTTGCATAGGAAAAAAGAGTTGCATCATTCTCTCTCTCTCTCTCTCCACTGCAATCTGATCTGGATCAGGCACCTCCCTCACCACCAGTAGCAGCACTTGCTACTGGTTGTTTGCAAGAAATAGATAATGCTCATGTTTAAAGTAACATTCAGTTTAAACTAACATTCTTAAGTCCTTATTTTGCTAGGACAGCAGTTGATTATAAATTACTGAAAATAGTTTCAGAAAAGAATTAGTTACAGCAAACACATTTACACTAATAAGCAGCATAATATGTGTGAGATGCAGGTTTTAAACATGCAGAGACCCGAGGTAGACCAAGTGGCACCCAGTAGGGTTGAACTACAGCTTACATAATGCCTGTCCATTGGCCATGCTGGTAGAGCTTACGGGAGCTGCACTTCAAAACATCTGGAGGCCGTCAGGTTGCATACCCTTGAGGTAGACCTCACAAAGCCATCCTGATTGGCTGTAGCTCCTTGCTACCTGGACATCATGTGTTCACAAATGCATAGCTCCTCTTCTGAGTTTACTTTAACAGTTGCTATTGCGGATGAATTTTGGAAGTGCCCAAAACAGATATAATCTCCCTTATTTTTTGGATCTACACACAAATATTCATACTGAGGGGACCGTCTCTCTCAGCCTTTTCTGGTGTTTTTGGATTTGCACAAAACCCACTTCATTCCAGGTGTCCTCCAAAGTCACCTAGACTTCCATGGTGTCTCCTTTTCTCCATCGGTATCTCTCCATTCTGTTCCAAAGAGTCATCTAACCATCCATAGGAGATTTAGGGTGGTTCATGAGAAGAGGAATGTATCTCTTTACAGCATCCATTCCATTTGTAGATGGACACCACTGGGTTTCAGCTGCGATTGTTAACATTTATTGAACCCCCAATCTATGCCCAGCACCCATAGCTTGAGCTGTAAAGTGCATAGTAAACACCTTGCAGTCCCATCAGCAGGGCAGAATATGATGCAATCCCAGTGGGTGCTGAAACCATTTTGACATGGTCATTAAATTGAAACCAACGAAGAGGGGTCAGTACAAGACTTCCAGGACTGGAGGACATGCTGCCACAATGAATGCTGTCACATGTGCTTGCTCATGAGCAATCAAACAATGCACATTCAACCTCGACGCAAAGATAGTTGCCCATAGGTTTGTGTTAGTGAAGCTGCTATTTGCACAGGTTATTCACATTGTCATCTTTACGTATAGGACTGCATTATTAATCATGTCAATCAGTTTTTCTCCTCTCTCTCTTCAATTGCAGACTGCAGCCCATTTGCCCTATTGATGGTCGATTTGGACTCCATGGCCAAGGTGAAATTCCACTCCGAGCTCTGCAGTTTAAGCGTGGGTTGTTGCATGAGTTCCGGAAGGGCAATGCCAGCAAGGAGCAAATTCGACTTCACAGTTTGGTCCAACAAATCCCCAAGGCCATCATAATCGGGGTGAGGAAAGGAGGAACCCGAGCATTACTAGAAATGCTGAATCTCCACCCAGCTGTAGTCAAAGCTTCTCAAGAAATCCACTTCTTTGATAATGATGAGAACTATGCCAAGGGCATTGAGTGGTACAGGAAAAAAATGCCATTTTCTTATCCTCATCAAATAACAATTGAGAAAAGTCCTGCATACTTTATCACAGAGGAAGTACCTGAAAGGATTTATAAAATGAACTCATCCATCAAATTACTGATCATTGTCAGGGAACCCACAACAAGAGCTATTTCTGATTACACTCAGGTGCTGGAGGGAAAGGAAAGGAAAAATAAAACCTACTACAAATTTGAAAAGCTGGCCATTGATCCGAACACCTGCGAGGTGAACACTAAGTACAAGGCGGTAAGAACAAGCATCTACACGAAGCATCTGGAAAGGTGGTTAAAATACTTTCCCATAGAGCAGTTTCACATTGTTGATGGCGATCGTCTCATTACAGAACCACTGCCCGAACTCCAGCTGGTAGAGAAGTTCTTAAATCTTCCTCCAAGGATAAGTCAATATAATTTATATTTCAATGCCACCAGGGGGTTTTACTGCTTGCGATTTAACATTGTCTTTAACAAGTGCCTGGCGGGAAGCAAGGGACGAATCCATCCAGAGGTAGACTCCTCTGTCATTACCAAATTGCGCAAGTTCTTTCACCCTTTCAATCAGAAATTTTACCAGATCACGGGGAGGACATTTAACTGGCCCTAAAGTAAAGTTCATACAACACTGTGTGTTGCACCCAGAGATATGCAACCGTGTCTCTATTAGAGTAAAAATATGCACTTTTCGTATCCACAGCTCTCCAAGTAACCCTTTTTCATGCATACTTGTACATATGCAGTGTGTGACCAAATATAAGGTGGGATCAATTTTTCTACAGAGCAGTGAATAACATAAAAATTTACTCTCTGCATAATTGCATCATTTTATGCTATACAATTAAATGAGATGTCATTTAAAGAAATTAACTCAGCCATTCAGTTCAAAGGGTCAGTGCTCTGTTCGCGCTGTGAAATTTAATATCAAACTTATCTAGAAAGAAGGCAGAGCAGTAATTTATCATTCATTGCAGAAGCTGTTTTGGAAGGCCTACAATGGGCTATTATAGATACATATTGCTGAAAGAATACTGACCCTTTAAAGGCATGCATCTATGCTTCAGACTTATACTGGTTTGAGCAATTGAGTTGCTGTGGTGGGAGAAGTATGGGCGGGATCTGCAGCAGAGGCTTCTAGCCAGATTACAATTTCCAGGATTTATTGAGCGGTACCATGTCAATAAATTGGTGACAAACCAATATAAGTTTGCAGTGTAAATATGTCCTGTGTGATGCTGAGCTTTATTGGAACTCTTTTGCTATTCTTTGAAAAGAAAGCCTCTCATGCAATCAATATTGTTTCAGATTTCCTGTGGTGAGCTTGCACTATTTTTTTAATTATTATTATTATTGTATGGATCATCTTGGCACTTGTAGCATGTCAATCATGTGTCGAAAAGGAAGTCTGTTTTTTTTCCTTCTATGCTTGTATGTTGACAAAGAGAAACCTGCTGTACATAATGTATATTATTTGTAAATACTGGTTTCACACTAAGTAATTCTATTTTGTAAACTGAATATGGCTATTTAATTTATTGTGAAAATGAAATTTATTGTGGTATTTAAAAATGGAATGGATTAAAATTGCTATATGTGCAATGGGATTTTTCCTTTTCTTTGCTCACTTTTTCATGATGCCACATTATTTAAGGCACTATATTTGTTAAGAAGACCTTTTCTCTTTCTCCTTCCTGCTGAGTAAGTCAGGGGCAGCTGGCTCTTGACTGACCTGAATTGAAGGTAGAGGGTGTGGACAGCAGGCCGAGGCCATGTGCTGCCCAGCCCTTAGCTAAACTAACCACACAGTCATCAACAAGCAGATGGCTGTTGTTGCTCATGAACCAGGAGCTTACTACAATCCTGACAATCCAGAATCTGAAGGCAGGGTTTGTTCTTGGCTTGTGATTCTTGTCGTCTTTGTGGATCAGCCAGGAATTCCAATTAGGAGATGGCACAACGCTTTTGTTTGCTGTGATATTCTGGTTAGTTTAGTAGTTTTTCATGGCAGAAGTCAAGCAGGTGTGACGTGGAAATTGTGTGTGTTTACATACGTGCGTGTGAAATGAGAAGAGATATTGGCTATATAAACTGATACCTAAGCAATCTATACTAATAAATGGCAAAAATGGGTTAATTAAAAGTAATTTAACATAACACTTCAAAGAAAATGATTTCTTTTCATAATGCAGTTATCATTGCTCATGAAGCTGAGGAATCCCTGTGAAAGATTAGGACCAGAGATCTACCAGACCCAGAAGTTTGCTGGTTTATATGACCGGGGAAGGAAAAGAAGCCATGGTGGCTTCCCCACTCTACGTGTACCACTTACATGCTGTCTCATTTCCGTAATTACCATGCTGGGCATGGCTGGCTATGCTGTCTCAGCCTGGTGAGGTGGGTAGCAAGGATGGCTTCCAGACAACTCATTGCTCATTCTAGGATTGTATGGTGGCTTGGATGCCACCCCCACTGCTCACCTTCGCAGCAACCTATGGAAATAAGGTGATACACGATCAGCACAATGGGGTTGTATCATCCCATTGTGTTGTTGTATCATCAGAAACCAGGCTACTTCTTGCAGGCTGGCTTACTTTTAGACAAGAAGCCACCCCTGATAACCCCTGGCTTGATTTGGGGACTGCTCAACCCAAAGTGGGCTCTCATGTCATTTGAACCCAGGAGTACAGGTCCATCATGCTAGCAAGCTGCACAGCCCAAGGCAAAATCCATGTGTCATTATTGGTAATAGTACTTGGGATGCTGCCACTCACAGCCCTTCCACTGATGTGCAAGAGGCACTTCAGAGAGACCATCGCTTTTTTTTGCCCTATAAATGTAGGGAAATGTCTTTGTAATGTATAATAATGATTACTATTTTGGTCTTCGCAGGTACAAAAGTGAGCTGTCCAGTATATGCAGCCTGGCCTGCTCCAATGTCCTTGTAAGTTTCAGCCGTCAACTGGAAAGTACGTTTGGTAACATGGGTGGCAACTGACTGCAATTAGACTCACGGCTCACAGCTCCCAAACTATCACCCGTGAAGTGGGGAGAGAGTAAGTGCAAGGGAAGAGGTGGTGACAGGATCTCCATCTTTTCAGTGTGAAACTCTGGATCCCCAGTGATGAACTGATAGTTGTCAGCCCTCCCTTTCTGGTGCTTCCCTGGGTCTCCACTGCTGCAGAAAGGAGAAAGATTATGGCCCCCACTTACCTTTCCATGGCTCCTTCTCAGACCACTTAACTGCTGCAGTTGCTGCAGTGGCCTGAGAATTCCAAGAATCCCTAACAAGGTGGCTGAGAGGAGCCAAAGGGATTAGGGTGTGAGCCCCACTGGTTCTGGGCCCCATTTGTTCCATCTCTACTGCCAATTCTAGAGGGTTTTTTTAAGTCTGAAAAAAGCACTTTTTTGCTTACCCCTTCCTTACCGGTGATTTTCAGTTGACAGGCGGACAACTGTGCACAACCAAAGTTATATAGTCCCTGCTGCACTTCCCTGCTTCCTTTGGCAGCCGAGTCAGACAAGGACAGGCAGACCGATCAGGCAGGAACACATGTTTTGGAAAGCATACATGTGCACCTCATCTGTGGAAGCCTAGCCTCTCCCCCAGAAATCACAGACGCAGCTGCACTGTTTTCTGGAGCTAAAATGTGGCCCCAGTGGCACTTTTCTCAGACTCTGATTCTAAGACATAAATTATAAAATTATGCTGCTAATGGAAAGGGTTGTGATCAGAGCTGGGGGGCGGTAGACAAAATCGGTTCTGTCCAGTAGGAGACTGCGATATTGGTCAAAAGACATGGGAAAGGAAGGGAGAAGAAACCACAGCAAACCTGATTGTCTGTTGGGCAGTCTGTGAATGGTTCTGCAAAAAGCTAATACACCATGGCTTTTTTCACAGGGTGGCTTAACAAGTTGTGTGAATGTGGCCATTGAGTTGTTTACAACTAACATGACCCATAGCAAAACAAAACATAAAAAGCTGAAGAAGGTTGGACTGCTGTATCTATTTTCCTGTGATTCTGAAATTAAGCCCAATTAAACTTGATAGGATTCGACTTAGTAGATTGACATAGACAGCATTGTGTTGTGAGGCTACAATCCTGCACTCACTGAGGGAAAGCATCATCAAAGCATGTTGAGTACATGTGGACAGGATTGCACTGAAAAATGAGTAGGAATTTAATAGTAGAAAGTGGTGATGCTTAAGAAAATGAATGAAAACAATTTGTTCCATTTCTGTTGTGCATAATATTGTTTTAAATTCACAATGAATATGCAGCCAGTACACAGAAAAAGTCCAGACCATGTTACACACATAGATATTACACACATACATGAAAAATAGAAGTTCAATTGAAAATTTTCTCTCTGGAGGTAAAAGGAATGCAAACAGATTTACAAGAAGAGGAGGAAGAGGGTGATATTATACAAAGTGACCAATTTATTCATTGACACTTCATCATACCAAGGTAAGGGATACATCCTCTCATGTTAAAAAATGTGTAAGATGGGCTCAACTGTGAAGCAATACAGCTATTAACCGAACTGTGAGTCCCTGAGCCAGGATACATGCAATCTAAATTAGCTCTCTTCATATACTCTGTGTTGGTGCCATTGAGTATTACAGCCTTCCTTACTCTGATGTGCTGGAGGTATTTTGGATTCCCAAGTATCCTCTCTAAAGGCTAACATTCACTATTTTGTTTCCTTTAGGGAAATATACTAGACTTTGCTTGTTTGTTTTAAACCCTTAGAGATGGCAGAAAGGATAGATCAAATGCAGCACTCCTTCCATGACTCCATTTGCTCCATCCCAAGCTTTCTCAGGGATGTTTTGACAGCTGTCGTGGAACCAAAGTAATAGTTCAGGAAAGGAGCCACAAAAAGGAGAAGGCCTTAAATAGTAAGGGCATCACTTCATCTCCCCTTTCTAGATTAGCTGGAGATTCAGAAAAATGTAGAAAAAAAATGGAGGAGGTGAAGAAGCATCAGTTCAACACTAGAACTTGAGAAGGTTATATTGTTTAGCTGAAGATCTTGAGACCACCTCCTTTTGATGCTTCTACTCTGTCAACATTTTGTCCTTTCCAGTTGACAGTGAAGCAACTGACAGATGCCAACTGTTCCCAGTTTAGCCTACATGCAGCCTCACCTCATCAATCCATTTGTACTTGACAAATGAAACTTACAAGGGCATTAACTAGAGAAAGCTACACATATGGAAACATCATGAGAGCATAACTAGGAAAGATCAAAGCACATAGATTTGCTCACAGCTCTAAGGCTGATTTTTTTAAAATGTGCAAAGCCAAGAACATCCAAATGTGCATCAGTGCAGGAACTGTCATTGCTGGAGTGCAGGCAAGATGGCGAAGCGGGACAAGTGCAGCTTGCGGGCCTTGCCACACGGCTTCCTGGCTGACTCTTGTAAGCCACAATGACATCGTTGTGCTGGGTTCAGAAAACAGGGTGCCCTACTATGGATGAGCCCCTAAAACAAGTCATGTCAGGGAGGCTTATTACCCATGAACACCGCTCCCTGCAGTAGGCATTCTAGGTTCTGGTGTGATGACAACCACCAAGGCTGGTTACTTCCCGTCATGCGTCCTG